GCATCTGTGTGCATCCTTCCGGGATTTTCTTCTAGGTATCTTTATTTTTTAAATTTTTATAAATGATTTCTTATTAAAGTAGTGTATGAAACTTATAAACAAGTTATTCAACACATAGAAGTGCTGTAGAATAAAAATCAAAAAGACTTCTCTTCTAGGGTAATGCTATTAGCAGTTAGATATAGATTTTTTTTAAAAAATTTTAAACACAACAGAATTATACTGTACTTTAATACAAATAAAATCAAATAATTTTTATAACAATTATAGCTATTATATCTTTTAATTTTAGCAACCAAGATCTTAATGATAAGCTTTCATAGATGTATATTTGGATTGATTTCATTACTGTTGGCTTGTGAGGTTTTTTTTATAATTAATTTATTTATTAAGGATTTCTGCCTCCTCCCCGCCACCTCCTCCCATTTCCCTCCCCCTCCCCTGATCAAGTCCCCCTCCCTCGTCAGCCCAAAGAGCAATCAGGGTTCCCTGCCCTGTGGGAAGCCTAAGGACCTCCCACCTCCATCCAGGTCTAGTAAGGTGAGCATCCAAACTGCCTAGGCTCCCACAAAGCCAGTACGTGCAGTAGGATCAAAAACCCACTGCGATTGTTCTTGAGTTCTCAGTAGTTGAGGTTTTTTTTTAAGATTTAAAAAAATTCTCTCTGTGTGTGTGTGTGTGTGTGTGTGTGTCTGTGTGTGTCTGTGTGTTTGTCAGTGGTTCTCAACCTTCATAATGCTATGCCACTTGAGTACAGTTCCTCATGTTGTGGTGACCTCCAACCACAAAATTATTTTCATTGCAACTTTATAACTGTAATTTTGCTGCTATTATGAATCGTAATGTAAATATCTGGTATGCAGGATGTCTGATATGCGACCCTTGTAGTCATTCATTCCTCTAAGGGGATCATGACTAGTCTGTGTGCCTGCAGTACCCACAGATGCCAGAAGAGGGCATCCTGTCCTGGAGCTGTAATTACAGATGTATGTGAGCTCTCCAAAGAGGGTGCTGGGAACCAAACTCAGGCTCTCTGAGAGATTAGTATGTGATCTTAAGTAAACATTGTGCTGTCCCTGTGGCCTCCTTCCACTTTTCAAACATTTAGTTTTTATTTTGTGTTGCTTTGTTGTTTCTGACAGGGTCTCACTGTGTAACTCAAACTGATCTCAGATTCAGCAATCTTCCTGGCTCAGACTTCTAGCCCTGAAGTACAGGGGCATGCTTTGTCTGAGTCCTGGAATTCAGGGGCATGCTTTGTCTTCTCGTTTTTAAATTGTCATTACTATTAAATTACAATTAAACATTTCCCAAGCTTCTTGCTATTTGCATTTCTCCTCTTATGAATTATCTACCCATACCCTAAGGATCACAAACAGTAAATAAGAGTGTAGTATGTTTCTCTTGAGAACTTTTAAACATCCAACATTTGTTTGAGTCATTGTTTCTGTGATTATTAATGATTTTTTACAGTCTTTGTAATCAGTCCAACAAATAATGCAAAAAGGATGGAGAAACCTGTCATCCATGTTTCAAATAAATTTATTTCAAATAAATCAGGATTTATTTGCTAAACAACTTTAATGAGTCTGTACCCATCCTGAAATCCTTTCTGTAAGCCACTGGCTCCAAATCGTGCTTTTCCTTGCAAGGCTGGCATCTGCTGGCGAGATGACACCTTTAGGAATACTCTAAACTCGGAGGGATGGCTCAGTGGTTAAGAGCACTGACTGCTCTTCCATTCAATTCCCAGCAACTACATGGTGGCTCACAACCATCTGTAATGAGATCTGGCGCCCTCTTCTGGCATGTGGGCATACATGGAGGCAGAATGTTGTATACATAATAAGTAAATAAATCTTTAAAAAAATAAAGGAATATTCTAAACTCAATGAAGAGAAACTTGTACCTTCCTAGACAAGTCTTTGAACTGAATTGTGTTTATATGGCTTATAAAAATCAAGATAGAGCTGGCCGTGGTAGCAAATACCAAGTACTCTGGAGGCAGAGGCAGGCAGCTCTCTGTGAGTCAAAGTCCAGCCCAGTCTATACAGTGAGTTCTAGGTCAACCAAGGCTACATAGTAAGACCCTGTCTCAAAAGCCAAAAATGAACAAAAAAATTTAATGTAGCATTTATATATCATAAAATGCCCGAGTCTTGGGTATTAGATTATTTTAAGTAGTTCCAATGAAAAGAGACACTAAAATGTTTATCATATTATCATTATTTGGGGGGGGGGGGAGACTTGAGGAGAGGTCTAAAGACCATATGTGTGGTACTTGATCAGCTTCTCGGGAGACTGTGCTTTCCGTACCATGCTGTCATGGCATGGAATAGGGCAGGTAACAGTGCCTGATAGAACTTCAGAATGATTCTATTGCCAGTTACTTCCGCGACATCATTATGAACGTAAATCCATTTCTAATCACCTGCAATCATGGTATAGAAACTGTGGGATGGAAAATGCTTGTTAGAATTTTCTAGCAGGACCTTGAAGGTCATGCAATCCAGGCTGTTGTCGAGGGGAGAAAGCAGAGTCTTATGAGGGCTCTGAGGGAGGCTCTCGTCTTCTTAGACAGTCCTGGAGCTCACTAATGCTGCATTCTGGCCCTAATTCCGTGTTCTTTCCGAACCTCCTCCTTCCTCTTGAGGGGCTTGGTCTGGCTATAACCTGTAAACTTTCCATCTTTGATAACTTTTTGCCAGTTTGTTTTCTTTACAATTGCTGCTTTATTTTAGAACCAGAGACTAGGAGGTGTTCTTTTAGATGAGGATTCTAGGTAATTACTTCTGGTCACTCCCAGAACAGCATCTGCATTCATGTGCCCTGGTGTGGCTTTTGAGGAATTCACATACCAAAGTGTTGAGCTCAGATACAGAAACTGAAGAGGTTGATCCCCTCTATACTGGAAGCCTAAGGCATTTCCTGGTGGATTTGTGGGAGTCATCTGCACACTTTAGGGAGACAGACTGGCTCTAGAAGCAGCTTATTGGTGTATTATGTCCTTTGATAAAGTACTGGGGTTGAACCCAGGAACCCCCACATGTCAAGAGCATGCCACCGCCTCAAAATACCTCTGCCCACCTGCTTTTTCCTTTGCAGTACTGGGATGCCACTACCCATTATCTCCAGACTAACTCAGTGTTCAGATTAGAGCTGAAAAATAAGTTAGGCAGTTTGGTAGTATTATATTTTCTGTTTCTAAGATAATTTTGTGCTTAACTGAAATATAAATTAATCCTGGTTTTGCTTGTGTTTTGTTTTTGTTTTTTATAATAAAAGAAAAGGCTTATGAACAATTCAGAAATAACAGCTTTTTGGTCAGGAATTCTGAAGCATGTCATTAGTGAATTGGCCAGAATGTGAAGATCTGTAAGCTTTATAGTTAGATGGGAACGTGAATCAAAGGGAAACCATGATGGAGGCAAGCACTTGGATGCCGTCAGCTCCGGATCCAGAGCCTGCTCTCTTCAAATGCAGCGTCTGTGTCTCACAATATTTGCTCTTTGGTTTAAACAGCAAACAAAGCATCTTACCTGTCAACTTCACTTTCTGTTTTGTGTTTATGCCCTTGTTCTACCCATGACTATGGAAAGTGTTCTAGTCTGTCTGTTCACTCGTTTACCGAGTAGACATCACTAGCTCATATTTACTAGAAAAGTATTTGTGGATCTGGGGTAACTGCTGAACCAGTTTTCTATCTAGACCACCAGCAGTGGTTTCCTTCCCCATACAACCTTCCAGCCATGGGCCAAGAGCCCATTTGTGTTATTCATGGCTTCCTGTTCCTGGCTTCCTCACACAATAGGGTAATACTCCCCTCTTCTCCCTTCTGAATTTTATTGTAAGACAAGATTGACTTAAACCATTATTTCCAGAAGCACAATGAAGTGAGCTTTTCCAACCAGGTTATCCATCTTGGTTTATATTATTGTGGGGACAGTTTAGCTCATAGGGTCGTTGGTTGGCAGTGTTTGCCCAGCTTGTTCTGTTTGCTTTAGAGACCATTTCTCCACAAAATCCATAGCGACTCTTCTCTAGTGCTTCCCCTGGTTCTTTATCCAGCTGTCTCTCATCGTCTCTCACCTTCTTCTTGGCTGTTACACTGCCTGTCTGATAAATACTCAGTGAGCCTCAGAAGACAGCAGGACTTTAATAATGCAGTAGTGAAAAGAAGGGGTAAATGTCCCCCAGAGGGGATCTGAACCCTTAAACCTAGCCTATTTAACTTGTTCCTCAGCTGCATCTTCTGTTGTTGGTTAATCTGTACAAGCCAAGAGGGGCCGGAGGCTTTTCCATCCTAGCCTCTGGCTCTGTTTGGTTTTGTAATGACAAATAAACCTCCATCTTATATTTTTAATGCTTCATTCTGAAAAGAACTATTTTAAGGGATCTCATATTTCCCTTTGTCAGTTATGAACACAGACATTCTTAAGCTTCTTTGTTAGGCAGGGTCCCTTGTAGCCCATGCTGGCTTAGAACTTACTCTGTAGTTGATGATGACCTTGAATTCTTGATGCTCATGCCTCTTTCACCTTCCAAATGCTTGAATTACATTTGTGAGCTGCAGGGTCTGGGTTCCCATGGACAGTCTGAGCTTCATTTCCCCCTCCTTCATTCACTTTACACACACACACACACACAGACACTGGATTGTTTTACACGAATTACTCATGCTGTAAATGCTTCCACGAATGCTCCACTTATTGCTCTGAAATTTAAGAAAAGTCAAAATGCCATCATCACATTAAAAATAGTAATGCTTACTTTAATAGCATCAAATATCTAGCAATCACTGAAATTTTCTTGATTTTCCCACTGGTGTTTTTCAATTAGTTCGTTTGGAGCAGAATCCACACAAGGACCAGGAGGGGCTTTCTAGGCGGTTATGTGGAGGCCTTTTCTCATTCATTCAAACACACAGCGATTGTTTGAATGGATATGGTTTTCATGCACCAGGCACAGCTCTCGGTGTCAGGAATGCAGAGTGGAAGCAGGTGTAGACCTTGCATGCTCACGGTATTGAAGGCTGGAGGGAAGAGAATGGGGACAGTAAACAAATCAGTAAGAGAGGAAGTGTGCACGGTGAGAAGAGCCGAAGCTAAGCCGTGCGTTCAGTGTAGCAGCTTCACACACAGCACGGAAGACAACATCCTTGGAAGCCAGGATGCTTAGTAAAACCTGACTGATGAAGAAGATATCCATATAAAAGACAATCCGAAAGGATATTTCAGACAGAGAAAAGAAGCTATGTGAGGCCGTAAGGCCAGAACAAGGTCAAGCAATTTCATGAAAGCACTGGGCTCTGAGATACAAAGTGAAGGTAGAGGGGATGCATAATGAGGCTGCAGGAACTCGTCTCTATGTAGCTGTGACCATTGAACAGAACCAGTACAATCTAAATGGCCATAATTTTACTTGATGATGTCTTGCTAAAATGCCATGGACTTTAAATTGGTATGTGAAGCTGGCAACCTCTGTTTAGACTCTCTGAGATGAGCCTGCATGCATTCCTATGATGGGAAGATCTTACCTCCTACCCTCTTCTCTTTTGAAAGTATACACAACCTATGCAACTGTTCATGTCATATGGTGACTTTGAGCTTCCTATGAGTTTAATAGAAGGACCTGTGCAATCTACCATGTCACGTGGTGACTTTGAGCTTCCTATGAATTCAATAGAGGGACCTGTGCAATCTACCATGTCACGTGGTGACTTTGAGCTTCCTATGAATTCAATATGAGGTGCAAACACAGAGATGAGCTTTTGTGCCATACAGTTTGGGTAGCACAACTTTAAAGGATGCCCTTTACTTTGGGGGCTGTGTTAGCCAGACTTTCTAGGATGTAAGAAATACTTAGCAGAAACAATTTTTAAAAGGAAAGATTTATTTTGATTCATGGTTTCGGTCCATGGCCAGCTGACTCTGTTGTTTTTAGGGTTGTGGGAAGACAGAAACTTGGAAGCAGTGCTGTTCACTTTTTGGTGACCAGGAAGTGATGAATGGACAGAAGGAGAAGGTGTGTCTTTGTAGAGTATGTGCCCAGTGAGCAGCTTCCTCCCGCCAGGGCCACCTTCTACTGCCTACACAGATGCAGCCACCAGAGCGAATCCATTAAAGAATCACTCCACTGCGTAGGTCAGAGCCCCAGAATCTAACTGCTTATGAGAGTCCATGGGCCTTTAGGAGAGAGACATCTCAACTCAAACCATAACAGCAGCAGTGTGGTTTCTTACCCCACTGAAAAGCAATAATTATCGAGGTCTAGGTGAGTCCAAAAGCCTGATTTGATCCATAAACAAATCCTGTTATAAAGTGGAATATCCAGCTCTGCATGGTGTGGTGCACACCTTTAATCCCAGCACTGGGAGGCAGAGGCAGGCAGATCTCTGTGAGTTCAAGGCCAGCCTGGTCTACAGAGTGAGTTCCGGGACAGCCAGGACTATAGAGAGACTCTGCCTCAAAAAACAATGGATGGATGGATGGATGGATGGATGGAAAGTAACTGGAAAGTCTGCGGTGCAGGGAAAAGACACTTGGACAGCATGTACTACAACTTAGTACAGGATGAGTAGCCCTTTTCTGAAAACCCAAAATCCTAAATGCTCCAAAATCTAAAACTGAGTACTGAAATGACATCCCAGGTGGAAAATTCCATACCTCATTCTTTGTGATGGGGCACAGTGAAAACACAGGAGTGGTACAAATGCTGTGCAAAATGATCTTGACGCTACATATGCAAGGGACATATGAATCACAATTTAATTTAATTTCATGTTTAGAATGAGTCCTATTTCTATAGAATCTCCTCATCTATATGCAAATATACTGAATGTAGTACAATAAACAACAAACCCCTCAGTATCCGAAACATTTCTGGTCCTAAGCGATTCAGATAAGGATTGTACTGTCGGTTGAAGTCAAACTTAAGAGTTTGGAAGACTAAATTATCTAAGGTTAATAACATTTTAATAGCTTTCATTGTGCCAAATGTACTTGTTCTGAACTCTTTTTTAAAAATTACCTGCAGTGCTTGCCCTTAGAGCTAGTGACTTGAATGTGTTTTATGCCAAGAGAACTAATGAAATTTGCTTAAGTTCAGTGAGTTCTATTTTATTAGACAAAGAGGTTATTCATAACGATAGAATCAAAGCCAAAATTTTTGCTCTGAACTCAATTTTTATTCATTCATTGACACAGAATCTAGCACTTTGTTCTACCTCCTTCCACTTCAGACAGAGACATAAATTTATCTCTTTTTTATCTCCCCTTCTCCATATACATAAGTATTAAAAGGTGTTTTTTTTTTTTTGTTTTTTGTTTTTTTTTTGAATGGGACATCCAGAGAAATAGCTCAGTTTGTGTGTTTACCTGGAATGAACAAGGCCCGGGCTCAGTCTTCAGTGCCTGTTCAGGTGTCTTGGTACAGACCCTGTTGTCACAGCATTCTGGAGGCAGAGGTGGGAAGATCAGAAGTACAAGATCATTCTGGGCTATAGAGTCACCTCAAGGTCAATCTGGCCTACAAGAGATCTGTCAGGAATATAATAATATAAAACAAAACATGAAAACACCTGATGGACCCCCTTCCCAAATTCTGATTACCTAGCCTATTGGTAGCCAAGAAAAGATAGGATACTGAAGATCTTTTCCTCACTCGGGAATATGTATTGTTCATGAAATTGCATTCTGATAACATGCATTTGCGAATTATCAGTAGAGTAATCTAAGGAAATAGGAAAAAAATGTGAAGCCTCCTTGGTCTCTGTCCAGGTGCCGCTTCAACATTTAATTACTCTTCTGAATCAAGGAGGCACTTAAATGCAGTCTGGCCAGTAAGCAGCCTGAAACGGTAAACTTTTAAGCAATCTATTGATAATCTTATTAAATAGCAGACTGATTTCTTTAGAGATACTCAGGAAAAAGGCTAACCATTAACTAAAGACTGATGATGTTTCACGATGCTGTAGACCGTCATGGTGCACATATGGCTTCTTTTGTCATAGTTAGCAGCTGGCCTGCCTTTTCTTTCACCTGCCGTCTTTGACACTAAGCCAGACTCTCCTGTCTCTGGCTTCTGATGCAGCGCTCATTGCAGCCTGAATGAGAGGAGACTCAAGTCAGTCTTCATCCTGAGACGACATGATTCTCCCATGGGCGCTTAGACAGCCACGGACTCACTCCCCGGCGACAAAGCCAAAGCCTGGCAGAACCCTGAGAAAAAGTACAGTTTTACATTGAGAATGAAGTTTCAAAGAGACACCATTAAACATTTAGGTGCTTTCGGCCGGGCAGTGGTGACACACGTCTTTAATTCCAGCACTGGGAGGCAGAGGCAGCAGACAGATCTCTGTGAGTTTGAGGCTGGTCTGGTCTACAAGAGAAAGTTCCAGGACAGGCTCCAAAGCGGTAGAAAAAAAAAATTTGGTGCTTTCTTTGTATCCACGTAGCACATAACTGTTAGGTGGGAAGATAAGACACTGCTAACGTGTGTTGAAGATCAGTTGTAGGAGGCATCCTTTGAGTGTCTCAAAGAGGAGTTGGGGCTAGAATCTGTTTCCAGAAATCCTTGAAAATTGCAAGTTTTGGCTTTGTCCTTTATATTAGCCAGGATCCAGAGATAGTGTCTGAAGACAGGATACTGTCACTCAGTTTTAATGGAAGGCGACTAGCACACTCTGGTATATGCATCAAAAGGACAAAATATCAGGGTTATTGCACCGGCCATAGCAATAGTGATTTTAGTGTGAGGTCCTTTGCTCAGGGCTATGTGTATTGATGCTTTGGCGTCTTTTCAGCATCTGGATTGGTAGACAGAGAACTGAAGCTTGGAGACTTGCTTAAAACCCACAGAGCTCGAAATCACAAATCAAAGTGAAGGGACTAGGACTCAAATGTATTTGTGACTTCAAGGCATGAGCCTTGTTTGTTTTCCTTCAGATGGATCACTAGGCTGTTTTAAAAGCTATTTGTAGTGATTGCGCCATTTCTATTCTTGTCTGATATCACAGTAACATCCAATATGTTCTTGGGTGGAAGAAAGGATGCTCAAACAATAGATAATTATTTTCTAATATTTCTGCAGACTGAGAGCCCAAGCAAGTTCAAGGTGTGAGCATTGGTGAATAGTTAGATATTCAATATTCTTTCTTGTTCCCTTCCCCTACTGTGACAAAATACCTGAGAAAATCAGCTTCCAAAGAGAAACAGTTTGGTTTTGGCTCACAGCTTTGGAGATTGCCACCGTTGCTTTGAGGAAGGCAGACATCATGGCAAGACTGCATGGTGAAGGGAGATGCAGGCCCCTTGGAGGCCAGGAAGCAAAGTGGGCTGTGTTCTTAAGCACTGGAATACAACGGTGTTGACAGGGGAGATGTGACCATAGATTGTCAGGAGTAGGAAATGGAAGACTCTAAGACAGCTATGAAGCTTTACTGTGAGAGGTTGACCAGAAGGTCGTGGTTGTAGTTAATCAAGGTAGGAACTACAGGAGCAGAGCAGGTTTTGGAAACACATTTTCATCAAGGAACTGAAGGAACAACTAATAGGCTTTTGGAAATTAGGGTCTGGAAATCAATATAGAAAAGAAAGACTAGATGTGTTCTCACTGAGGGTAATAGCTTAGGAGTTCTAAGAACGGGTGTGCTTGAAAAACAGAATGAGGTACAAGACAAGGGCAGAGAATAAGCCTTATGGGGGATTTTGTAGGTAACTTGGAAAATAGGGTTCCATAAATCTAAGACAGCAGAAAACATGTATGCCCAGGGTGGGTGCGGAGATGAATGTGCTTCCAGAAGCAGCTGTGTGGTGTTCCCTTTGCCATTTCCCCCTCCCCCAACCAAGGTTGCCTTTCCAGCCCAGACAGTTTAAACCCAGAACTCCTGCTGCTGGGTCTTAAAGTGAAAGTGCATTTATAATGTAAGAAAGATAAACTATCAAACTGTTGATTGGGTTTCGACCAGACTGCCTTTTCAGTTGTGTTGTATGGTTTTGGTTTTAGGAAATGGTTATTGCCGTTCAAAGGAGCTCACATTCTGCATTCAATGAGCCAAACAAAATTTGTTGAGATGTAGTTGATGTGTGTTGGATGAACTAAGCTGACATTTACATAGGTATTTTTCTTATGCCTGTGGTGTTGATTGCCATTGAAGAGATCTAATGTGACCAATAAACGGGTCAACCTGTGGCCTGGTTACCAGGAGGGCAATGTAAGGTCTGTGGAGACCTCCCTATTGTTATTCTTCCAATAGGAATTCAACTAGGCAAACACCAAGTTCCTCTTCTCTGCTTTTTTCTTTCAACCAATACATTAGAGTTCCAGAACAAGAGAAAACTTCCTCTGGTGTGATTTGATAGAAGGCCCCATTGTTAATTAAAAGCTGTCATTGAACTTACTGTTTAATTATTTCCTTCTGTCTCTATATTCATTTAAGTATCTTAGTATTCATACTAAGTAGTAATGATTTAAATTACTGAAAAACACATTTCTTATTAAGCAACTTGCCTTTGAAGAGTAATATTAGTTAATTGCCATAACATTAAAATCATATTTAAATTTTTTTTCCCAAAAATCCTTCCGGTTTTCTCAGTCTTGTTTTGGTAATTATATTATCCTTTTTTTTTTTTTTTGGTAATTATACTGTTTTAAAGTGTGTCTTTTTCTTCATCACAAATATAACCTAAAGCATTCCCATGTATTTTCCTTGCTTTTCAGTGGGGGTGGTAGTGGTGAGTTAAACAAGTAAATAAATAAATAAATAATTCTCTTGCTTTTCCTGTAAAGAACACATTAAACACCTATTTGTGTTGCGACACTACCGTGCTTAAATAAAAAACTTCTGTGCGTGTGTGTGTGTGTGAAAACTTCTGTGCATGTGCGTGTGTGCGCGTGTGCATTAGCGTGTGTGCATATGCACCTGCCTGCACACTTGTTTCAGATGGAAGCGAGGGCCTCTCACTCTGAAGAGGTGCTCTCCTAGAGCGCCACACCCCAGCCCTTCACTGCTTCTGGCATTTTATTATCAGTGAGGTGGAAACAGTGGACTGAGCTAGAGAGAGGAGGCCTCTGGCTCAGGGCCAGAGAGAATGGAGTTCTAGAGAGAAACTTGGAGCATTGGATCTAGACTGAAGCAAGAGGCACAGGATCTTCAGTGGACCTCAGTGAGAAACAGTCCCTGACATCTTTCTAGCTTCAAAATGCAGTGGGAAATGAGGGGCTTTTGCTCTGACAACGTTCTTTCTGTTGTAGCTTGAATCAGTTAGTTGAAAAAAACATACAGAAAGAAGCCAATTCATATCTTACTATATGCTTAGGTCATTGCTATCAGTTAGTGGAGAGGGACATTCAGCTCTGAGTAAACCCACAGCGTGCAGCTTGACATGGGAGTCATCTGTGGCTTAGACAGTAACGATGTGCTCTGTCCCATCTGATGCCTGGATCGGTTTCATGGCTGGCACTTCCAAGCTGTCCTAAACATTAAATAGCACAATGAGGTCACTGCTGCCAGCATTTGGAATGCAGTCTAGTTCCTGGTCCAGCATCTCCATCCAACATCCTGGATGTTTCATATATTGAGGCTGACTCGTGGTGGGAATCCAAATAGATTCCCTATAGGAAGCTGAAATGAGACAGCTTTTAGCAAGATGGGTTGAGTCCGTTAGAACACAAATTCCAACAGTTTGGCCAGCTGTGGACTGCTAGTAAGCGCAGCTGACCAGCCAATGTGGAAATGAACGTTAGAGTCTCCCTGTGAGCAGTGGCAACAGCTCTGACATGCTGTCAAGTCCAGAGCTGTGAACAGCTCCACGGATGGCAGAACCCAAAAACTTGAAGAATAAAAAGCGATGAAGATAGAGCTAGAAGTCTAAGCATTTATTAATTCATTAATCAATCCTACATAATTGATACTCTAATGATTCTTTTTCTGATTGTGAAATAATTTATAACTGTTGTACACTGTATGGTAATAATCCCTTGTCGATCTATTGCATGCTCTTCTAGTATGTACAGGGATATTTTAAACATCTAATTCGTCTTCTTACCCCATAAAATATATTGTAGTTAACAGCATGATATTTAATGCCTAGACTCAAAGATTTTAAACCTATCAACTAATCTAACCTCCTGAAATTATTAGAGGTTGAACCCAAATGAGAAGATGGACGAAAAAAGGCAATCACACGCATAGATGTCAGTAAATTAAGGCCAGATCAAAAGGAAATGCAACATGTGACTGTGTGTGCGTGTATGTTCACGGGGGGGGGGGGGGGTAGATGCACATGCAAGTATATGTCAACATACATAAATGTGTGCAAGACCAGAGGTCAGCTTCCAGTGTTGTTCTTCATGAACACCCTCTCTGGAGACAGGTCTCTCACCGAACTGGCACGCACTGTTTTGACTCGGCTGGCTGGCCTGCATGCCTTCAGAGCCACCTGTCTCCACTTCTCCAGCCCTGGAGTTACAAGCGTGCACCACTATACCCAGAATTTTTATGTGGCTCTAGGGTTCAAGGTCAGGTCCTCCTGCTTGCTTTGACAAGGATTTCACCAGCTGAGTCATGTGTCCAGCCTGCCTCTTGGGACATCAGTGATGATCACATCAACTTGGTCATCTTAATCTTAGTACACTGTAAACTGCAAGCAGGCACAGAAGTCTTTCATAGCAGAACATTCTGTAGAACGCCTAATCCAATGATCCCAGCAAGCTGGCATGGCTACTGGACAGATCTCTGAGCAAGAGTTCCCCGAGCAACCTTCCCTTAAGCAGTTCTTCCGCACTGCTGGTCTTCGTGTTTATGTTTCGTCCCCTGATGCATTAGCACCCATTGTCTACAACTTATTTTTTTTTATAGATCAGCTCATGCTAAAATCTGTGTGAGGAAGAGACCAACTCTCTTATTCTTCCCTACACCTTTTGAACTCACAACAACTAGAAGACAGGAAAGTAGAGAAGATGTCTGTCCTGGGGAACC